CCTGTGAAATACTGGAGAACTGTCTATATAGGACCTGTAGGACTGAGACCTCTGAGGATGCCTAACTAAAGACTGACTTTATTATAGCATCAAGCAAACAGAAAACCTGAGTGGTTACTAGACCTCTATTATAATTTTGAAGATCTTCATGAGTTTTTCTGAAAATTTCAGGCAAAGTAAATTAATTTATTTAAATACCTTTCTCAAATTTTCAGCCAATATAGAATTGCTCCTTTCAACTCTGCTACATTCAAAATATTTAGAAACTGATTTGCATTAGGAGAAAAAAAAACACAGTACATGCCTGTAATCTTCCTAATTGCAAGCATTATGAATCTTTCATTCAAAATTCTGTCACATGCCTTCTCTATAAATCCCTACCTTTGAATATAATGAATTATAGATACTTTCAGAGCAATGAATTTGTTAGATAAAATTACAGATGCTGTTTTTGTTTTAATTAATGCACTGGAATGAGACATTTGTGTTTTATTAATTTCACTTTACTGTGAATCTTTTCAAGTTTGTTAACTTCAAGATTTTATGAATTTTATAAATAAAACTCTGGACAGTTTTGGCATCATTTTCTAAAATGATCTGTCTTGGTTCAGAAAAATCCTCTGCTAAGACTACTGTAAATACTAAAATACAACCAATGTTAACTAAACTACATTGCACAGTCTCTAGAGACTGTATTTGTTTGAATGGTATAGTTAAGGATCTTTGAGCAATACTGTCACTTCCAGGGATTGAGAATACTTCAACTGTCCAGCTTCAGTCCAAAAGCAAACCTAAGATTTTGTACCATTCTCAAGCATTTTTCAAAAACAGCACATCCTGGCTTACCTGAATCTCATGGAGCATGTTGAATAAGTTAATACAATCAAAGCTTGAAAATACCTTCAGTTTTCCCCAAATCTCTAAGAGGTCATGGTAGGACATGACCATGTTTGGGATAACAGTTTTCCCGATAACCCTGGTTTTGCTGTATAATAAAAACATTAATGTGGATTAACTGCACAAAAAAACCCTCCTTTTTGAAAAACAATTGGCATTTTTACAGAAATGTCTGATATGCAAAACTGGGGCCCAAATCTGCTATCCTCATTTTGAGAAGTAACTTTCAGAGGGTAGCCCATTAAAATCAATGGATCTGTTTGGAAGGTGAGTCTCTGGTCTCTGGAGGCCTAGTGGTAATTATGCAGCTGTTCTGTGCTCTGGGCTGGGAGAGGGTGGTTCCACTTCTCTTCCCAATTCCTGCAGAGCATGTTTACTTAGTCTCTGTGGGGAGTATGAGTATTTTTCCATTCAACATTTTTACTCATCTGATAGATTACATGGATCTAAAATAACATTTTCAAACATTCATACAATGCTCTAAAAATCTTTATTCTCCCAATCTTTCAGTGCTGTTTCTCCCTGTTAACTGAACAATGAGCATCTGCCCAAATCCACATTTACAGGGTAGTCACTTGAAATAACTATTGTTTGAGGACTCTACTTATCCATACATGGGCTATTCCCAAGTGAGGGAGTGGAAAGTCAGTAGTGGTGAATCCACCCACAAGTTGGGAACAGCAGTCACCGCATGAACAGCTTGAAAACATAAATGGCTCAGGGAGGGTGTCTCTTGGGACATCCATGATCAGGGGTATTGATCCTGACCTGGTCACCCTACATAGGGTAGACATGACCCCAGTGTTGTCAATAAGACCACTCATAGGCTTACTGCAGATGAGTTAGAGTTCCCATTCAGAGGAGGATTATTTAGGCCTCAGTCTCTAAGTGCTAAAAGAAAGTCCAAGGAGATCCTGATTTAATATTGGTCAGCTGGTGTTTCTATACCAGTGCAATAGAGACATTTCTGTCTCCCCTGTGTAAGCTATGTCCCAGTGTGGGGGTCAGAGCAGCCTCCTGAGCAGGAATGACTGGGCAGGGCTGGGGAACAGGCTGAGCCCTGACCTCTGCAAACTGAGCCAGCCTGGAGAGAGAAGTAATGTGCACCTAGTAAAGAGCTGATACCAATTACTTTCCCCATGGAGCAAGTGTCAACCAGGGGCTGAACTGTGACTTTCTGAGTAACAATTACCTGGTCTGCTCTTTGGACAGCACACTTACATGCTTCTCCTTACTGTTACCATCAACCTTGAGACTACACAAAAACCAAATCCACTGGCTGGTGCACACTGGCTTTTCGGTGATGCAGAACTGGTACTCCAAAGCTACAAAACACAGAATGTTAGCGAGTGATGCTACATTTTTAGCTAACAATGGCTACCAGCGAGATCTTGACACTCCAAATCAATATCTGATTAAAAAAAAATTCAGTCCAATAATAATAATGTAATATAAATGCTTTTTACACATCTACTCAAATGTCAGTTTATTACACTAAATATATTGATTTATGCATTTTCTTTCTCAAAATAATCCATTGTATAGAGAAATGTTTTTAACAATAATGATTATTCAGATAATTCATATACTTCCATCTTAAAGAGAAGGGGCATATTTATAACAACACCCTCACAAGTGATTGCTTGGAGGTCACTATCACAGTTGGCCTTTTAGGCCCCAATGCCGAAACTGGCTCGGTGCAGGGGTCTGCCCAGCCTGAGCCAGTTGCAGGATCAAATTTAATCAAACAATATTAAATCTTATGATACTGATATTCAGTGATATGAATCAAAACATCAAGGTTGATGCAGAAGGTTTTTTAAAATACTGTAAATTATAACAGGAAGTTATGACTTATTAATATTCAGAAGAAACATTAAACAGCCTAGAAATGAGCCATGAAAAGTATAAGCCTATTGCCTCATCTATGGTCAAAGGGAAGCAAAGTAAGAAAGTTTAGCGATCATAAGGTTGATTTTTAGGAATTAATTGTTAATACTAAACTTTGCACTTAACTATTTGTTGCTAAAAATCATGACTGTGTTTTTCTTTTTTCCCCTTTGCAGAGGCTGGGGCACTAGATAATCTACTTTCATCAGAAGAAACAAATCAGTCCTGAAAAATAATGTATTTATACTTTGTTGTATTGTAAATGAAGACTAAACTCTAAACAGAGCTTTAAATGAACAGAAGATGGTGATTATTGTTTACATTACTCTTATACAGAGTTACACATGGTAAACTACTTTCTGCCCTTTTTGTTTTGTTTTTTTCTGTGATGTTACA